GTGGGAAACAGATTTTTAAAAAGTAGTGTTTCCAAGAATATATATACATGATTGATAGAAAGTTTATAAAAACATTGGTAAATGTCATGTAAATGTAGTGGAATGAATAGCAGCCAGTCTAGTGTTGTGCATATTAAAAAGCATTTTATTAATAGGTGTTTGATCAGTTAATGCCCCAGTTTTGTTTCAGATTTTAGTAGTGTGCCATTATTTTTCATGGCCACAAAAATTACACTGCTTATAATTTTTTGGTGTTTCTGAAGCAAGTTACTTTTTTATCTGTAAAACAAGGAAAAGAAAAGTTACCTAACCAGTATTTCCAGGGAAAAGAGGAGCCTCACTGGTGTTTTCACTATTATCAACAATTTTCTTGTGTTTTTTCTAGTTAAAGAATGTTATCTGGGCCGGGCGCGGTGGCTCACGCCTGTAATCCTAGCTCTCTGGGAGGCCGAGGCGGGCGGATTGCTCGAGGTCAGGAGTTCGAAACCAGCCTGAGCAAGAGCGAGACCCCGTCTCTACTATAAATAGAAAGAAATTAATTGGCCAACTAATATATATACAAAAAATTAGCCGGGCATAGTGGCGAATGCCTGTAGTCCCAGCTACTTGGGAGGCTGAGGCAGGAGGATTGCTTGAGCCCAGGAGTTTGAGATTGCTGTGAGCTAGGCTGATGCCACGGCACTCACTCTAGCCTGGGCAACAAAGCGAGACTCTGTCTCAAAAAAAAAAAAGAATGTTATCTTATGGTTCATGGTTTTATTTTATCTCTTCAGTTAATTGTGAACCTTTTGGTAAATTAAATTTATTTTATACTCTTTTGTGAGCAAAGGAGCCATAATGTTGTTGCTTTTGCAAAGTAATTTTTCAACTGATGAGAAAGTTACATGGAATTATTTATGAAGAAGCTATTTAAGATAATACCTAATATTAATTGAGCACTTAATACATGCTAGGCAGTGTATTCATTGCTTTATGTACACTATTTTATTTCTTCTTAACTACAGCTCTGTGAGATTCATACTGTTATTGTTTCTATTTTACATAGGAGGGAAATGAAAGCCTAAATAACCCCCTCAAGATCACACATGTAGATGTTAAGTGACTGAACCTAGGTTTGAACTCAGCTATGTCCTCCCCAAATCCTGTTTTGAACCATAAGAAATAATATAGTGCTTCTTGAGCTTTTTGAAGTTAACCAATCTCATAGATGCTCTAAACCAGCGGTCCCCAGCCTTTTTGGCTCCAGGGACTGGTTTCATGGAAGATAATTTTTCCTGGGGTGGAGGGAGGCAGAGCTCAGGCAGTGATGCCAGCAATGGGGAGCCACTGTAAATACAGATGAAACTTCGCTCACTGCCTCCTGCTATGGAAGACAATTTTTCCATGGGGGTGGAACAGCAGAGCTCTGCTGCCTGGTACCTAACTTGTCCCCAGCCCAAGGGTTGGGGACCACAGCACTAAACTGAGGCAATGACCTGTTTGTGAGGTACTCAGGCTTAACTGCAGTTTATCACATTACAGAGAGCTCCAGGGGACTCTAAATTCTTTTGATAGCTTGAGTTTTACTTATATTAATATTTGGAAATACTAGTATTTCTTGAAATAAATGAATCATTTGCTTGGAAATTGTTCCACTTGAGTTGATGTGAGGATTAACAAATGTGCTTTGAAACAAAAGAAAGCTGTTGTCACATAGTAAGTTATATTTGAATTGAATTTAAAATGGTGGTAAGCATTTGAAAAACAAAGTTTAAAATCAAAATTTAACTCGGGAGGCTGAGGCAGGAGGATTGCTTGAGCCCAGGAGTTTGAGGTTGCTGTGAGCTATGCTGACGCCACGGCACTCACTCTAGCCTGGGCAACAAAGCGAGACTCTGTCTTAAAAAATAAAAAATAAATAAAATAAAATCAAAATTTAATATGTAAAATTATAAATTACTATATATATTTTTTGAAAGACTGTGTGATATATAGAAAGTGTAGGAGATTGAAAGAGCTGCTTTCTAAATTTTACATTGTACTTATTTACCCCATGTCTTTTCAGAGTCACTTCACCTCTGTCCTTAAGCTTTCAGTTTCTTCATTTGTGAAATAAAACCCCATAATTTAGGAAAATGGGACCTGCCTTGTTTACCTGGCATCACTGTCTGATGGTCACCTGATGAATGGGCATGTAAAATTGCTTTGTAAACTATTGATATAAACCATTTGACATCTTCACCAGGTCATTTAGGCTCAGAAGCAAGATTTGGTGTCTATTTTAGTTATATGGATTCTTCAGTGATCTTGGGATGTATTTATAATTAGCTCAGTGGATTCATTGTATTGTATGTTCTCACAGAGAAGTAGCTACATAAATTATTAATAGCATATAACAGACTTTATTGGTTCCAGAGCTCCAGATTAAGTCTTTAAATGAAAACCTTTCTTTCTTTTCTTTGTCAAATTCTTATACCCAATGTTTTATTTTTGCCAGTATCTACACCTATGGAATGTTATTTGTTTGTAGATGAGATGGTAAATGACAGTTTAAACTAAACCACATCACTCATTAGGATTGATGGAGATCTACATTTTCTTTAAAAGAAAGTGAATGCCTAAAGGATAAAGGATATATTTTGTAATAAGAAAGGACATAGTGAAAAATCTGAGTATGACTAGGTTGAGGAGGGTGCTAGATGGTAAAGACAAAAAGGAAACCAATATCTGTGGAAACTAACCAGTAATAGATTCTAGGCTCCAATCCCAAAGGAATAATGAATGAATGCCTTGAGTACCAAGCTAATGTATTTTTCACCTCTTAGCTGTATTCACTGGGCCATTGTTTGTGAACCATAAATATTATGCTATGTCATAGTCCATTGTGCTTCAATAACAGAATTAACAGAGAACCACAGACTAGATAATTTATAATGAACAGAAATTTATTTCTCACAGTTATGGTAGCCAGGAAGTCCAGGATCAATGGGCTGGCATCTGGTGAGGGCTTTTTAGATGCATCATCCCATGGCAGAAGGGCAAACAAAGAGCAAGAAAGCCTAAGAGGGGGCCGAACTTGCTTTTGTGTAACAAACCCACCCTCTAGATAATGGCATTAATCCAGTCACCTCTCATTAAGCCCTACCTTACAACAGTATTGCATAGGTAATTAAGTTTCCAACACATGCTTTTTGAAGGACACATTCAAACCATACCATGCTGTCACTAGAGCTTTAGAGGAACGCAGCCTCCATTGTGGAGGGAAACAATTTTCTGTATCTTTTATCTGCTATTCTCCCCCTTCCTCCCCAAACTTAGGCAAAAAGATGAAATTTTTTTTCTCTTTGACAAACTGTTTATTGAATTTTGTATGGAATATCTCTTACCGTATCCTAGAATTCCAGGATTTGGGGGGTGGTAAAGTGGGTGTGGTGAATTTGGGGATTTGTCTTCGTAAAGTACCTGTCACTCTATCCCTAATTCTGCAGTGGCTGTCAGAAAAGATTAAAATTTATACAAATCTTACTCTAAGATCTTTAGGAAAGCAAAAAAAAAAAAAAAATTATAATATTTGGTTGAACATTATATGTATATTTACATCAGAACAATAGTAGTTATAATTTTTTGAGGGTGCACTGTGTTGCTGGTATGTTACATATTTTGTCATTTAATAAAATAAAGATAAACTTGTCATTTATCTTCACAGCAGGTCTGGAATTTAATATAACTGCCCCCATTTTACATGGATGTTGAGGCTCACGGAAGTTAAATGACTTCCAAAATCTCACAACAGTGATCATACTAATATTCAAATCCTCATCTCTGTGACTCCAAAATCTGCAATTTTTTTCAAAATACCATACTGCTGTGTTGATACGGGGATTGTTTTGTTTTTATAGATTTGGCCCAACAGTTTAATTGTGCAGCCAGACCTGGTTAATCCAGGGCAAGATTACTACCCCTAAATTCCTAAATGTACTACCTTTAATGTAAAATATAGATGATAATATTCAGGTGAACATGGCTTTTGGCCACAAAGCTGAGTTTAATGGAGGAGATATTCTCTTCACTGTGGATTCTATCACCATATCTTCCTACTTTACTCAAGGATTCAAAGACCCATAACCATTGTATGAACAAACTCTAGTTTTCAGGAAAAGTAAACATTAAATTCTCTGATGGAGATAACTTTATTTGATATTTCTGCTTTCAGAGGTATCAAAGGAATTTTGTACATGTCTAGTGAACATATGCTGTTCATTATTGAACATATGCTGTTCATTATTGAACAGCTCTTGTTGGGAAGTTCTTTTGTAATTCTCAAGTGATAATGTCTCCTTAATGAAGAGCTATTTCATTCATTGTTTCATTCACAAAAGTGTTTGAATTAGAAAGTCCATAGAAAAAGAGCATTTGTAGTTAAAAGAGAAAAACCTGCTTAATGTGAATTTAAATAAGCCCCAAGTTGTAGATCTGTTTCATATTGTCTTAACTAAAGAATAAATCCTATCTATGTTATTACCTTCTCTGTAAATCCTCTTCTTCCCTTAATGTCTCATTAACACATTTATTGTGTTAATTCATTATGTTAACGAGTTTACTTTGTTCACCCAGTGAGAGTGTAAATTTTGTGAGAGCAGTTACCTAATCTTAACATTTTTCATGACCTTTTAGGCAGTAATTTTTATTCTGAGACATCTATAGTAATTCATACAGTGAAGTTGTACAGTTTAAGTAAGGAAAGCATCAATATTTTTGGCTTTTAGCTAGAAGAACTTCAACAGTGTGGTAATATAAATTATTTTATGCTCACCAGAAGTCCTGATAAAATTGGAATACAAATTTTTGTTTAGTAAATGCCATTTATTTAAAAAGCAACTTTTTAAAAACAATTCTTTCATGGTGAAAGATTTGGAATTAGTGTTTGGTAGTGTCTATCCAGTCCAGTGTTGTATAATAATGACTATTAAAAATATGATTAATTCATTGATATAACATAATTAATGAACTTTTTGTTTTAGGGAATGTTGTGGGCAATTTGGGACATTCCTTCTTCAGTCAAAGTTTTCTTGGCAGTAAAGAACATGGTGGATTCTTATATGTGACATCTACCTACCAGTCACTTCAAGACCTAGTACTCCCAACCCCACCTTACCTATTTGGGATTCTCATCCAGAAATGGGAAACTCCTTGGGCTAAGGTGTTTCCCATCCGACTAATGTTGAGACTTGGAGCTGAATATCGACGTAAGTAGTAAAACACCTTCTTCTAAATCACATGATCAAGGTGTGATGACAAATAATGCCTGAAATATTCAGAGGCCTCTGTTTGGTGATATAATTCAGCAGAAATAATTCTTTGAAATAGCTAAGCTAAATTTGGCTAGTGTCTCAGCTTATTTTGGCTGTAATGGAAAGGACTAAAAATATTGAATGAGTAAGTTGGTGATTATTACCTTGTAAACTTGCTGTTTTTGTAGTTCATTGACAAAAACATGATTATCATCAGAAAAATGAACTTGAACTTAAGTAACTTTATTTTCTATAGCATCTGTATATGATGAGCATATTCTTTGTCACGTGGTTGGAAAATAGTTTTGACATTATATTTTACTTAACATACAGATACTGGAAGCTGGTGGTCTGGAGACCACTCTTAGTTGGTAAGATAGGATACAGATAGGCAGATATAGGTTACAGCTATAACCTAATGGTTATACCAGTGCAACTAAGTTGGATATTTTTAAAGACATTGTAGGTTAAATGCAAACTTTAAATTTTATATCTTCACCCAATTAAAAGTACTCTGTGCTAGGAATCAGACCACTCGAGTAAGGTTCTCAACTCCACCACTTATGAGCTCTGTAACTTTGGGCAAGTCACTCAAGTTCTGATTATCAGTTTCTTTGTAAAGTGAGATAATACAGTAATAATGCCTTTTATATTACATTGGATTGTTAAAAGGATCAAATGATGGAACATTTTATAAATCATAAAACAGCATATTATATGTTCTCAGCAAGTCAACTTTATTCTTTCACTTATTTATTCATTCATTCAGTAAGAATTCAGTAATAAAGACCTACCATATATCACGAATCCTGGGAATTCAGAAATGGCTAAGACCTCATTATAGGCTCTTGGGAACCTTTATTAGGAACACATACAGAAATCATGATTATAATACTGTATTGTATAAAACCTATGCTCAAAGTTAAGTTCTTTGGGAGCTCCAAGATGGGCTCTAACTTGACCAGGAATGAAACACAAGTTGGATAAGAAACATGTCTTGGACTTAGGTGCCTCTGGATTGAACTCTGAAGGAGGCATATGAATCAGCTAAGTTTAATGGGGAAAGGGAAGGAATGTATGCAGAGGAAACAACATATGTATCTTCCTGTCTTATACAGGGATTTCAAACCATAAGGTTCAAGGGGGATAAGCCAGCCCGTAGGAACACCTGTGATTTGGCTCTCCCAAGGATGGTCCTGGTTAGGAGGTGTAGAACACTGAACCCTTGGTGGGCATAGTGGCTTGTGTCTGTAATCCCAGCTACTCAGGAGGTAGAGACTGAAGGATCACTTGAGGCCAGGAGTTCGAGGCTGCAGTGACCTATGTTCGTGCCACTCTACTCCAGCCTGGGTGACAGACTAAGACCCCATCTCTAAATAGATAGACAGATAAATAGATAGAAAGGAAAAAAAAGAAAGAAGGAAAAAAGAGAGGGAAGAAAAAAGGAAAAAGAAAAGGAAGGAGAAAGAAAGAAGGAAGGAAGGGAGGAAAGAAGGAAAGAAAGAAAAGAAAGAAAAAAGAAAAGAAAAAGAAGAGAGTGAATTCTTAAACTTTCTTGAGCACTGAAGAATCAGGAGATACTTGTTTCCTGGATCATACCAGTTCAGTTTGAAAAATAATGCTTCTTAAGACCTTGTGGGTCATTTTTGAAAACACCTACATCAAAAGGCTTATTCTGATCATCAAAAGACTTGCTGTGGCCCAGGATTTATCTGCTACCATGCTATATAAATACATTTTGAGCCTTAAATTTGACATGTTCTAACGAGTCATTACAATTATATTTTGAAAAATATATTAGCCATTATGTCTCTTTTACCAAAATTTTAAGCTGCCAAACTTAATCTGGTCATTTCTTGTTTCCATAGTTTATCCGTGCCCACTGTTCAGTGTCAGATTTCGGAAGCCATTGTTTGGAGAGACGGGGCATACCATCATGAATCTTCTTGCAGTAAGTTGGGAATTTTTTTTTTTTCTTTTTCCTTCATGGGAGTTTGTATGGGAGAATTTTCATGAAAAACACTTCTCAGTGTGTTGTGTGCCTTTGGTCTCATTCCAGAACACTGAAATGGTTGGTTTTTTTTTAACCCTTTACCCAGCGTTTTAGTTGCTTTTTGGGGAGTGGATTTGGTGAATTTCCTCACTCATCATGCTGAAAGCTATAGCTCTAGTTATCTTTTTTCCCTGACCTTTTAAAAAGTTTTAATTTTTAATTGACATATTATTGTACATATTTATGGGATACATTTTGATGTTTCAATCCATGTATACATTGTATGATGTTCAAGGATAATTAGCATATCCATCACCTCACCCCATGCATTTATTGTTTTTTGAGGTGAGAACTTTAAAAAACCTCTCTTCTATCTACTTTGTAATACACAATACATTACTATTAACTATAGTCACCCTACTGTGAAATAGAACACTAGAATTTATTCCTCCTATCTAATTGTAACTTTGTACCTGTTGGCCAACCTTTCCCCATCATCCCCTTTCCTATTCCCTCCCTGGTCTTTGGTAACCACTGTTCTACTCTCTACTTCTATAAGAACAACTTTTTTTAAAAGATTCCATATATGAGATCATTCAGTATTTGTCTTTCTCTGTCTGGCATATTTCATTTAAAGGTTTGTCCACTTTGTCTCAAATGACAGGAAATCATTTTTTTATGGCCAGATAGTATTTCATTGTGTAGGTATACCACATTTTCTTTATCCGTTCATTTGTTAGGCATTTAGGTTGATTCGGCGTCTTGGCTATTGTGGATAGTGCTACAATAAACATGGAGTGCAGTAATGTCTTTGAGGTACTGATTTCATTTCCTTTCACTATATTCTAATTTATGTTTCCACCAATGGAATGTAAGGGTTCCCTTTTCTCCACATCCTTGTCAACACTTGTTTTCTTTCATATTTTTGATAGTAGCCATTTAAACTGGAGTGAGATGGTATCTCTTTATGAGTTTGATTTGCATTTCCCTGTGATTAGTGATGTTGAGCATTTTTTCATATACCATTGATCATTTGTATGTTTTTTGAGAAATGTCTCAAGGTTTTTTGTCTATTTTTAATTTTTTTTTTTTTTTTTTTTTTTGAGACAGAGTCTCACTTTTGTTGTCCAGGCTAGAGTGAGTGCCGTGGCGTCAGCCTAGCTCACAGCAACCTCAAACTCCTGGGCTCAAGCGATCCTTCTGCCTCAGCCTCCCGAGTAGCTGGGACTACAGGCATGTGCCACCATGCCCGGCTAATTTTTTTTTTTTTTATATATATCAGTTGGCCAATTAATTTATTTCTGTTTATAGTAGAGACGCGCTCTTGCTCAGGCTGGTTTTGAACTCCTGACCTTGAGCAATCCGCCCGCCTCGGCCTCCCAAGAGCTAGGATTACAGGCGTGAGCCACAGCGCCCGGCCTTATTTTTAATTTTAATTTTAGTTTAATTTTACTTATTTTAATAGTATAGTATAGCATAGTATTGAGACAGGGTCTTGCTATGTCACATGGGCTAGAGTGCAGAGGCATCATCTTACTCACTGCAACCTCAAATTCCTGGGCTCAAGTGATCCTCCTGCCTCAGCCTCCTGAGTACCTGGGACTACAGGTGCACACCACAACACTGGCTAATTTTTCTATATTTTTGTAGAGACAGGGTCTCACTATGCTCTCCAAGCTTATCTCAAACTTCTGGCCTCAAGCGATCCTCCCACTTTGACCTCCAAGACTGCTGGGATTATAGGCATCAGCCACCGTGCCCAGCCTTTTGCCCATTTTTAATCAGGTTCTTTGTCTTTTCACCATTGGATTAAATTCCTTATATATTCTGGATATTCATCCCTCATCAGATGTGCAGTTTGCAGATATTTTCTTCCATTCTGTGTTGTCTCTCCATTTTGTTAATAGTTTCCTTTGCTTGGAGGAAGCTTTTTAGTTTGATTTAATTTAATTGTCTGTTTTTGCTTTTGTTCCCTGTGCTTTTGAGGTCATATCTAAAAATCTCTTGCCCAGCCTTATATCATGAGTGTTCCCTTGTTTTCTTCTAGTAGTTTCATAGTTTGGGGTTTTAAATTTGTCTTTAATCCATTTTGAGTTGATTTTTTATACAGTGAGAGGTAGGGGTCTATTCTCATTCTTCTGCATGTGGATATATAATTTTCCATTTATTGACAGGACTGCTTTTTCTTTAGTGTGTGTTCTTGGCAACTTTGTTGAAAATCAGTGTGTGAATTTATTTCTAGGCTCTCTATTCTGTTCCATTGGTTCATGTATCTGTTTTTATGCCAATAACATGCTGTTTTGGTTACTATGGCTTTGTAATGTATTCTGAAGTTGGGTAATGTGATATCTTCAGCTTTGTTCTTTTTGCTCAGGGTTGCTTTGGCTTTTTGGGGTCTTTTGTGATTCGTATGATTTTTAGGATTTTTTCTAATTCTGTAAAGAATGCTATTGATATTTTGATAGAGATTGCATAAAATCTATAGATCACTTTGAGTTTTATGGCCATTTTCACGTTATTAATTTTTCCAATTCATGAACACAGGATATCTTTCCATTTCTGTCATCTTCAATTTCTTTCATCAGTGTTTTATAATTTTCAGTGTAGAGATCTTTTATGTCCTTGGTTAAGTTTATTCCTAGGTATCTTATTTCTTTTGTATCTATTATAAATGGAATTGTTTTCTTGATTTCTTTTTCACATAGTTCACTATTAGCATATATAGAAACACTACTGATTTTTGCACATTAATTTTTTATCCTGCAACTTTGCTGAATTTGTTTATTGGTTCTAACAGTTTTTTTGTGGAGTCTTAAGGGGTTTTTATGTAATATAAGATCATGTCATACATGCTAACAGGGGACAATTTGACTTCCTCCTTTCCAGTTTATATGCCTTTTATTTCTTGTTTGTTTGTTTTGTTGTTTTTATTTTTATTTTTATTTATTTATTTATTTATTTTTTTTTTGAGACAGAGTCTCGCTTTGTTGCCCAGGCTAGAGTGAGTGCTGTGGCGTCAGCCTAGCTCACAGCAACCTCAAACTCCTGGGCTCGAGTTATCCTTCTGCCTCAGCCTCCCGGGTAGCTGGGACTACAGGCATGCGCCACCATGCCCGGCTAATTTTTTTTTATATATATATCAGTTGGCCAATTAATTTCTTTCTATTTATAGTAGAGACGGGGTCTTGCTCTTGCTCAGGCTGGTTTTGAACTCCTGACCTTGAGCAATCTGCCCGCCTCGGCCTCCCAAGAGCTAGGATTACAGGCGTGAGCCACAGCGCCCGGCCTTGTTTTTATTTTTTTGAGACTAAGTCTTACTCTGTTGCCGGGGCTAGAGTGCAATAGCATCCTCAGTGCCACCTCAAATTCTTGGGTTCAAGTGATCCCCCAGCATCAGCCTCCCAAGTAACTGGGACTAGAGGTATGCACCACCACATCTGGCTAATTTTTTAATTTTTTGTAAAGATGGGATCTTGCTGTGTTGTCTAGGCTGGTTTTGAACTCCTGGCTTCAAGTGATCCTCCTGCCTCTGCCTGCCAAAGTGTTAGGATTACAGGCATGAGCCATCATGCCTTTATTTCTTTCTCTTGCCTAATTGCTCAGGTTAGGACTTCCAGTACTGCATTGAATAGAAGCAGTGAAAGTGGTTATCCTTGTCTTGTTTCTGATCTCAGAGGGAAAATGTTCAGCTTTTCCCCATTCAATGTGATGTTAGCTGTGGGTTTATCATGGCCTTTATTGTACTGGACTGCCTGTCATGGCCAGGCATGGCGAGCCAGCTGGCTGTGTCTTGGTTTCCCCACTGTATAGGTCTGCCTGTTACCTGAGGGTATGGGGTGCCTTGTGGGTTTGATGCCAGGGTCTCAGCCATTCTGCTGAGCCTAGGCTCCGAGTAGCCGGGATTGTAGTGCTGCAGCTACCCGTTTGAGCATGGTGGAATCAACTGAGGGGCTTCAAAGATGGAGAGATGCAGGGGCTATTGGCCCCCAGGGCAGGATGAACTCTAGCAATGGGTCCAGTTTCAAGATGGCACCTTGCTGTAGCAGTTTGGGTCTGGTGGGGGGTTGTGCAAGAGGGTCCTCTGAGGCAGTGCAGTTTCCTGAACTCCAGGGCACTCTTAAAATTGGATTTAGGGCCAGGGATGACTGTAGGCATCTGCAGTGATAATGGGGACCACTGGAGGTCTCCAGCTTACCTCTTCCCTGTGAGAAGTCTCACCTGACCCTGGTGGGAGAGACAGTGTGGCAGAGATTGGGTGCCTGCTTTCCTCTCTATGGTGCTGTCCCGGGGTTCTCTTGCTCCATGGGGATTTTGCCACTTTCCTGCCGATCTTCAGCATACTTCCTCAATCATTCCAGTAGAAATACAGTTGTTTATTTGTTGTTTTGGTCCCTTTTTGTAGGAGGATGAGCACCAGGCAATTCTAGTCAGCCGTCTTGCTGATGTCACTCTCCTCCAATTATCTTTTAAAGAGATTTGAACAATAAGAAAAATTCTTGTAGATTTACCCTTCTAGTTGCCATTTTCTATGCTCTTCATTCCTTTGTGTAACTCTGTATTTCCATCTGGTGTCATTTTCCTTCTGCTGGAATGATTGCCTGCAACATTTCTTGTAGAATAAGGTTAGAATAAGGTTGCTGGTGATGAATTCTTTCAGATTTTGTGTTTGTAACATCATTATTTCATTTTCATATTTGAAAGATATTTTTGCTGAATGTAGAATTCTAGGTTTTCTTCTTTGAGTATTTTAAAGATGTTCCACTGTCTTCTTGACTGCATTGTTTTCCCTTTTGTCTTTGTTCCTCTCTACATAACATTTTTTTTCTTCTCTGGCTGCTTTAAAAATATATGTATTCTATTAAGCACTGGTTTGGAGCAATTTGATTATAATATACTGTGGTATAGTTTTCTTCATATTATGCTGGGATTCATTGAGCTTCTTAGATCATGGGTTTATAGTTTTCATCAAATAATATGTTTTCTGTTCACCCACTTTTCTCCTTCAAGAACTCCAATTACATATATATTAAGCTGCTTGAAATTGTTTTACAGTTCACTTTTTTTTTTTTTTTTTTTTTTTTTGAGACAGAGTCTCACTTTGTTGCCCAGGCTAGAGTGAGTGCTGTAGTGTCAGCCTAGCTCACAGCAACCTCAAACTCCTGGGCTCAAGCAATCCTCCTGCCTTGCCCCCTAAGTAGCTGGGATTACAGGCATGTGCCACCATGCCCAGCTAATTTTTTCTATATATATATTAGTTGGCCAATTAATTTATTTCTATTTATAGTAGAGATGGGGTCTCGCTCTTGCTCAGGCTGGTTTCGAACTCCTGACCTTGAGCTAACCACCTGCCTCGGCCTCCCAGAGTGCTAGGATTATAGGCGTGAGCCACCGCGCCTGACCTCGAGTGATTTTTTAATTTCTTTTTCAATCTTTTTTTCTTCTATTTCCTTTAGGATAATTTTTATTGTTACACTTTCAATTTTGTTAATCTTTTATTTTGCAGTGTTTAAGCTGCTGTAAATTCCATCCATCTTTTAACAAATCTCAGGCACTGTAATTTTCATCTCTAGAAGTTTTACTTGGGTCTTTCTAGATCTTTTATGCCTCTACTTAACTTTTTGAACATCTAGAATACAATTGTAATAACTGTTATACTATCTTTGGTAATTCTAACATCTTATGTTGGTTCTGGCTTAGTTTCCATAGATTGATTTTTTTTTTTCCCCTCATTTTGTGTTGTATTTTCCTGTTTCTTTGCAAACTTAACACTGTGATTTTATGTTCTTGGGTGCTGGATACTTTTTGTGTTCCTGTCAATGTTCTTTCTTTCTTTCTTTCTTTCTTTCTTTCTTTCTTTCTTTCTTTTCTTTCTTTTCTTTCTTTTCTTTCTTTTCTTTCTTTTCTTTCTTTTCTTTCTTTTCTTTCTTTTCTTTCTTTTCTTTCTTTTCTTTCTTTTCTTTCTTTTCTTTCTTTTCTTTCTTTTCTTTCTTTTCTTTCTTTTCTTTCTTTTCTTTCTTTCTTTTCTTTCTTTCTTTCTTTCTTTCTTTCTTTCTTTCTTTCTTTCTTTCTTTCTTTCTTTCGAGACAGAGTCTCACTCTGTTGCCTTGAGTAGACTGCCATGGCATCAGCCTGGCTCACAGCAACCTCAAACTTCTGGGCTCAAGCGATCCTCTTGCCTCAGCCTCTCAAGGAACTGTGACTATAGGCTCGCACCATGATGCCTGACTAATTTTTCTACTTTTAGTAGAGATGGGGGTCTTGCTTTTGCTCAGGCTGGTCTTGAACTCTTGACCTCAAGTGAACCTCCCGCCTAGGCATCCCACAATGCTAGTATTATAGGCGTGAACCACCACACCTGGCCCCCTATCAATGTTCTTGAACTCTGTTGCAAGTAATATAGGTAAGTTACTTAGAAATACTCTCTAACTCACATGATATTTTACATCTCAGTAAATGGTAGTTCCAGTTTTCTGGTATATCTGGTCAGAAAATTTAGAATTATCTTGAAGTCTTGCGTTTATTGTTCACATTCTATATCCAACTCAGTGGCAAATATTGTCAATTTTTCCTTTCAAATATATCTAGAATCTGACAACTTCTCACTATCTTTTGAAATGTTAATTAACATCCTGGTCTATCATCACTATCTCTTACCTGGGTTATTTTTATTGTGTTTATCTGATCTCCTTTTTTTCTATCCTTGTTCCCTTACTACCACCTGTTTGTTATAAAAAAGTCAAAAATGTTAAAACAGGTCAAAAGCTACCTAGAGTAAGTCAGAAGTCCTTGTGGTGACCTACAAGAAACTATAAAATCTTGACATATGTTCTTACTTTGACCTCAACTCCTACCACTCTTGCTTACTTTGCTTCAGCCACATTGGATATTTTGTGTGTGTGTGTGTGTGTGTGTGTGTTTCCCACAAATATTGAGTGTCTAAGATGCATTAAGGATATAGCAAGAACAAAATAAGTTAGAGTCTGAACCCTCTTGAAGCTTATCTTACGGGGATTTAACAAATAAATTTAGAAAATGTTAAATGATGATAAAGCAGGGTAAGAATTCAGATATTTGTTTAGTGTTGTATACAGGGGTATATGAAACTGTTTTACTTATAAGAGTTTACAGTCTAAATGGAGAGCTAAAATACAGTGGGGCTTTCATTATACATTTCCTTATTTAAATAAATAGGATCTTTAAATATTAATGTTCTTTCCATTTGTGTTTATTTTATTACTATAAATCAATTCCTACCATTGATGAATTCTTTATTCTACTTCAATCTGCTTTGGCTCAGGACTTCAGAAATTACCAGTATACCTTGCCAGTAGTGCAAGGTTTGGTGGTTGATATGGAAGTTCGGAAAACCAGCATCAAAATTCCCAGCAACAGATACAATGAGGTAAGATTTATCATGAAGGTATATTTTTCATAGTTGAAAAAACATGAATGAAGGTGAAAAATACATGATTACTTCGAAATTTTGTTTTTAATTAATTGACAATTATATTGGTTCATAATATTGTATAGTCTAGTAGTTCAATTATGGGGAGTTTCATTACAGAAAAGCCAATTTGTAAATTCTTTAGCCATTTGTTGTGTCATTTGACCTTTTGAGCTATGATAATCAGTGATAGATTTGCATTTTTGTTTTTGCACAGATACATACAAATGCATTTTATTTAGGTAATCCTACAAGCAGAAGAACAAGTCTATTACATAGATTAATTATATGAATCTGATCTTTTTTTTCTTGATTTTGTCATACTTGTTATATTTCATTATATTATGGGGGTATAGATATTGTTAGGGTTACATATATTGCCACCCCACATGCCAGACCCTGAGGCGTGTCCAACCCCCAGATGGTGCGCACCAAACCCATTATGTAAGTGCACACCCTTCCTCTCCTCTCCCCCCACCTGCCCACCACCTGATAGAAGTTTCTTTTCTTTTCTTTTCTTTTTTTTGGCATTTTGGTTACCTTGTATATCTTTGCCTCTCCCTAAGAAGGGTTAGAGACATTCCCTTTCCCCCTACAATGCTCACCACATCCCTAGGATGTCGGTCCCCCGCCAATCCCTGGTGAGTACTACCACCATTTGAGCACCATAGTTTTAATCAGTCAGTACCAATTTTTTTTTTTTTTTTTTGAGACAGAGTCTCGCTTTGTTGTCCAGGCTAGAGTGAGTGCCATGGCGTCAGCCTAGCTCACAGCAACCTCAAACTCCTGGGCTCCAGCAGTCCTTCTGCCTCAGCCTCCCGAGTAGCTGGGGCTACAGGCATGCGCCACCATGCCCGGCTAATTTTTTATATATATATATCAGTTGGCCAATTAATTTCTTTCTATTTATAGTAGAGATGGGGTCTCGCTCTTGCTCAGGCTGGTTTTGAACTCCTGACCTTGAGCAATCCGCCCGCCTCGGCCTCCCAAGAGCTAGGATTACAGGCGTGAGCCACCGCGCCCGGCCTAGTCAGTACCAATTTGATGGAGAGTAGATGTGGAGCCGATTTTCTTGGTCTTGTGTCACCTCCCTTCTTTCCTCCTCCCTTCCTTCCTTCCTTCCTTCTTCCTCCCCTCCTTCCTTTCTTCCTCCCTCCCTCCGTCCCCTCCCTCCCTTCCCTCTTCCCTTTCCCCCTTCCTTCCTCACTCAGCCATTTACTTAATCATTGGGATAACAGGCTTAAGCTTAATCCAGGATAGCATAAACAGTGCTAGCTCACTGTTGTTTCTTAGAATTGATTAATATTCCATTGTGAGCATATACCAAATTTTAATTATCCACTCTTGAATTGACAGGCACTTGGGTTGTTTCCACGTCCTTGCAATAGTGAATTGTGCTGCGATAAACATTCGGGTAGAAATGTCTTTCTAATAGAATGTCTTATGCTCTTTGGGGTAGATGCCCAACAATGCTATTGCAGGGTCGAATAGTATTTCTATATCTAGCTGTTTGAGGTATCTCCAAATTCTTTTCCAGAAAGGTTGCACTAATTTGCAGTCCCAGATTTGCATTTTTGATTAAGGTATAAAATTAGCCTTCTATCTGTAATATTAATGGTAAAATTTAAAAATTTTTTTCTCTTACTAGAAATATATGTTATTTTCAACTATTTTTAACATTTAAGCACAGCTTATTGTAAGTCCCAATATGGCTTTAAATAAGGTTCCAAAAGCAAATGATTACGTTTTGAATTAAGCTGTATTTTATAACTATAATGAAATTATGCATGCTATACACATATTAACAGAATTATATAAACGATCTTCTTTGCCTATTTGCATGTGAAGTCTTTCTTAAATATAAAAATTTCTTATAGGCCGGGCGCGGTGGCTCACGCCTGTAATCCTAGCACTCTGGGAGGCCGAGGCGGGCGGATTGCTCAAGGTCAGGAGTTCGAAACCAGCCTGAGCGAGACCCCGTCTCTACCAAAAATAGAAATAAATTAATTGACCAACTAAAATATATATACAAAAAATAGGGCATGGTGCGCGATGCCTGTAGTCCCAGCTACCCGGAGGCTGAGGCAGGAGGATTGCTTGAGCCCAGAGTTTGGGTGCTGTGAGCTAGGCCGACGCCATGGCACTCACTCTAGCCTGGGCAAGAAAGCGAGACTCTGTCTCAAAAAAAAAAAAAAATTTCTTATAATCAGTTATAAAATATCTAATGGTAATTATTGGGGTTTTAAAGAGAAATTTTGTTTTAAAACTTAGTGTGATAAAATAGTGCTTAAAATTTGTTGTTTTAGGCCGGGCATAGTGGCTCACACCTGTAATCCTAGCACTCTGGGAGGCCGAAGCAGGCGAATTGCTCGAGGTCAGGAGTTTGAAACCAGCCTGAGCGAGACGCTGTCTCTACCAAAAATAGAAATTAATTGACCAACTAAAATATATATACACAAAAAATTAGCTGGGCATGGTGGCGCATGCCTGTAGTCCCAGCTACTTGGGAGGCTGAGGCAGGAGGATCACTTGAGCCTAGGAGTTTGAGGTTGCTGTGAGTTAGGCTAATGCCAGGCACTCACTCTAGCCTGGGCAACAAAGTGAGACTCTGTCTCAAAACAACAACAACAACAAAATTTATTGTTTTATTAAGCAGGGTGGTAACTCTACTATTTCTTAGTATAAAAGAAGGAAGGCTTGAGCCCAGGAGTTTGAAGTTACAGTAAGCTATGATGATACCACTGTACACCAGCCTGGGAGACACAGATCAAGACCCTGTCTCAAAAAAAAAACCAAAAAAAAAAAAAAACCAAAGAAACAAAAAAAATCATTTATCCATTCAATAAACATTTTGTACTTGGTATGCACTTAGGGTCACACAGATGTCTTATTGGATTCATGAGCTTAACACTCACTGTTATTATGAGAATGACCTATGTGAGGAAACCTTTTACCCATGACTTTCCATGCGATGTTTTTTTTTTTTTAACATTATAAAATAGCAGCCATATTATAATGTGTGCTTAATTTTTTCTGGGATTTAATTAGCAGTCTTTAGCTGTTATATGGTTCTACCTTGTAATACCAAAGACTAATAAATTAGAACAGGTAGAGTCAAATCTTTAAAATGAATTATTTGTATGTAATTTGTGCCCAGAAGAGTGTTGAAAGAGACTATACATTGAAAACTGGTTTTATTTCTCATATTTGAAGTTTTATTATCTATTTCACAAACATTTGTTAAATATATTCTGTAAAGTGAAATACAAAGATGAGTAATAACATTATGCCTGCCTTTTCTGGGAGCTTCCTGTATGGTAGTAAGATGATCAGATATCATTCCCAAGTGAATAGTATTTTTTCAAGTGCTGTTTTTATGGGTGTGAGTACATGTCAGAACTCATCAAATTGTACACTTTATGTGCTTTTTGCCAGTTTTTTTTTGGAAGTAATTTTTAAAAATTACTTCCAAAAGTTTCCGTGAACCCCTTTGTAATGTATTGCTCCATCACATTCCGTCCTCAAACCCATGGGGTCTCACTCTTATTCAGGCTAGTCCCACCCATTTACTTTTAAAATATTTGTTTCCTTATAATTTCAAGTGGTTTTCTTATATACAACATATAGTTGAATCTTTTTTGCTTATCCAATCTGACAATGTCTTCCTTTGAAGGTGTTTAGATCATGTATATTGGAGTGATTATTGATATGGCTGGGTTTAAATCTACATCTTGCCATTTGTTTTCTATTTATCCCATCTCTTTGTTCTCATTTTTTTCTTTTATTTGTTGGTTTGAGACTAGATCTCACTCCATTGCCCAGGCTGGAGTACAGTGGTGTGATCATAGCTCATTGCAGCCTTGAACTCTTGGGCTTAGATGATCTTCCTGCTTTAGCCTCCTAGTAGCTGAGACTATAAGCTTCTAGTTAGACTATAGTTAGATTATAAACTTCTAGTTAAATTTTTTTTTTTTTTTTTTTTTGAGACTCTTGCCTGGGCTAGAGTGCTGTGACGTTAGCCTAGCTCACAGAGTGCTAGAATTATAGGCATGAGCTACCACACCTGGAAAAATTATTTTAAATATAACTATAAAAAATACACCATTTTTTGTCAAAGAGTGACCAAGGTTTTAAAAAAAGAAAAAAAAAAAAAGAAAAATACACCATTTTTTCTAGTTATGTAGTGGATATTCAAACTTTTATCAGGTCACTACAAGAATATAGCCACAGTTAACCTGTCAAAATCTCATACAAAAAGGGACAAGATTTTGTTAACATTTTACTCAGGACTAGAGACAAGGACAAAAAGACAGGACTGGAGAAGTTTATTTTGGTTGTAATATAATGCAAGAATCTGTGAAATAGTTTATTTGTACAGTTTTCTGTCTTGTATAAGTTAGGCTGAAAAATAGGTTGAATGGCCTTTCCCACTCTAAGAATTCTAAAATAGGAGCTTTGATGTATTTTAATTAAAAACTACACATATTCTTCAGAGAAGTGTGAAGTCACAAAAGTATAATATAATTCCAAAGGTTCGTTGCAACACTGGTGAGAACAGATGGCACTAAAATCTGTTTGTGAAGTGTTTGATTTTCTGGCCTTCAAGGAATACATTTCTTCTAGGAAGGAGGAGCTCATAGTCCTTTTTTCAAAGGAATGAAAGGAGTTGGTCTGAGGTGCTCTGGAGAATAGTGCAGGGGAGGGAGATGATATTCCATTGATTAAGTATAGCTATTCCTAGTTTATACATAAGAGTATTTAGCCATAGGTATAAATTCAAATCAAAGGATCCCCAAGAAGGAGCCCATGATGCTGTATGTCCACTTACTGCCATAGGAAGTCCCTGCTGAACTTCTGTATGCAGGATAATACTGTCTTCTCCCATTGACAGGAGTGAACAGTGAGTCTAGGACACTAGGCTTCTAGCCAAACTCTTCGCTTTCTCTCTCTCCCAGAAT